GTAACAAAAGGATAAAACATATTGAGAAATTCAAAGGATAGGGGAAAGTGGAGAGGCATGACCACCTACGTCTTGAATGTACACGGCATATAAAAGAAGAAAATATTATGCATCCTTCAAATCTATAAATCAATCATTCGACCTTGCATGGAATATTTCTGTCCTACAAAGTATGGAGGCCCCGCTGTTCGTTTTAGGGTCCTCGACAAAATCCAGAGACGGATATGGAATGAGGTTGGCCCCGGTCTGGAATCTTGTTTACAGTCGCTCTCTTACAGACATGCCGTCGCCTCCCCCTGTCTTTTCTACAAATATGTTCACGGTAAGTGCTCCGATGCTAGTTCCCAAACTGCATGAATTTAAACATGCCACTAGGTCGGCATCTCTGGCCGACCGTTTCACTGTCGAAACAGTTAAATGTAGCAGTCTCTTCTACTCCATGTCTCGCACTTCCCGTCTATAGAACTTCCTTCCTCTTACTTGGTTCCCTGATAGCTATAATCTCCAACTATTCAAATGCAGTGTCTGTCGACATCTCCAGATGCCTTGATATATTCCGCGTCCTTCTCTATATCCTCTCCTCAAACACACCTCTTTACTCTTGCTCTCAATCCTCTGTAGCCCCATGCGTGCTAATGGCACTTCCGACTTGCTCGCGGTAAAAAAATTTTTTGTTTATTTTTTTTTAAAGAAAAAAGACGTTCAGTAGTCTGTTGTTTCTAACGAAAATGTTCTGTATCTTGATACTCTGCTTAGCATCTGAAATGCATATTTGTCTATCTCAGCGAGCTTTAGGTTTTCAGGGATCTACTTTCCATCCTCTATTAAAACACTGCTAAGATATTTAAATTTTTGTGCTTGTTTGATTCTGGCATCTCCAATCTGTAATTTGCATTTTGGGCTGTCCCTTTTGCTAACAAACTTGCATTGAGTCTTCTTGCAATTGATGCTTAGTCCTTTCTTCGCCCTTTCCTTCACTACCTTCTGTATGAGATTTTGTAGATTTCCTTCCGTGTCTGCTATCAACACTGTGTCATCCGCATATCGCAATGTTTCGTGTAGAGACGCCTGTAACTACCCTCTAAATGGGCGACAACATAAACGTCTTAACTTAGTTTCATAATGTTCTCTACACATGGCAACTGGTACATGATTTCTCATCAAGTCGAAATAACTAGCAGGAATTTAATAGCCATACCAAATGTTTGATCTCTGTCTGATTGGTCGGCAATAAAACCAATTTATCTTCTGAATCAATCTTTTTATTGCCGCTTAAGTTGGACACATCTCCCAGAAGTAAAAGGAAAAAATATTTCCCCACCAGAAAAAAAAAAGATGTCTTCGTTGCAATGAGGAACGTAAAAAGAATCGAAAAAGAACGTAGTATTATCATTGTGGTGGATATTTAAGAGAAAACGCTCTAAATATCTGCTGCCAACATATAATATGTGTATTTTGAGATAATTATATTGTCTATATTTTATTTCTATAACCAATATTATTCGTTTTACAAAAGACTGTGTTTAATAAACTGATACACAGACACACACGTATTTACAAACAACACACCCTCCGTGAGTCTGTCACCCTTATCGTCGGCAGCGTTATATATATATATATATATATATATATATGACGTGGACAACGTCCGACAATTATATTTTAAGACACTTTTTTATGTTTATACATTCTTTTTATAGATACAAATATTTAAGCAAATGCTCCGTTTATAATAAACAGTATTAACAACATTTACCGGTTTGAATGTCTTAGAAATTGTCATATTGTGACCCAATCGGTTACGAGACGTGAGGCTATATGATAGGATATAGATTCGATTCCAGTCGAAGGACGCATATTTTCTATGAAAATTTCTCGGACATTCAGGCTGGTAAATGTTCTTATAACTGTTTATTATAAACAGAGCATTTACTTGAAAATTTTACCTCCAAAAAGAACGTATAAACATAAAAAATGTCTTAAAATCAATTGTCAGATTCTGTCCATTTCATAATGTGTGGCGTCATTTGTTTACATTTGGATACGCATTGAGCAGATATGAATGAATGAGAGAAAATCATGGAGAATTGTGTTTAAAAATAGTAAAATCTCCTTTGCTAACCGGACGCTCCTCTGCGGCCCAATCGGTTATGGCACGTTAGGCTATATGACGGTTCCGTATAGTATACAGTTTCGATTCCTGTCGGAGGACGAATATTTTCTATGAAAATTTCTCGGACATTCAGGCTGGTAAATGTTGTTAATACTGTTTATTATAAACAGAGCATTTACTGAAATATTTTTTATCTATAAAAAAAGAATGTATAAACATAAAAATGTCTTAAGATATATATATATATATATATATATATATATATATATATATATATATATATATATATATATATATATATATATATGTGAATGCGCAAGTTTGTGAATGCGCGTGTGCGTGAAACACTAGTGACTAGAGCCGTTCTATTCATAGGATTTAACGTTCGTCAGCATTATTTGCTCGGCCGAGGAAATGTGGGCTTCGAGCATTTTAATAAGTCGGTAAGATTGTCTTTAGGCTTTTTAATTTCTTTCTTTTTTCAGTATTATCGTCTTTATCTGAGTCTTGATAAGAGTTTAGGTTTTGGTAAGCTGTCTCATGGTTCCACCAGCGGTTTTTATTTGTCTTTAATAGTATAGTTTGGGTAAATGAATATTGTAGCAACTAATTTATGCCAATAGTATATTCTGTTAAAAATTCTAACAAGCCCGACACATAAGCAATAGTAATTTCGAAAAAAGACACTTTAGCCAACATTAGTTTTATTAGTATAAAATGGGATTTTAGTGGGTACATGTATTCCGGTTATTAATTTCACTGTTACGAAAATAAAAAAAATGGTTTAACAATATTACTTAGAAAGTTATTTTTATGGATACCCGTATTTGAAATAGACGAAGGTTTGTTTTTGTTTTTTTTAAGGTGTGTATTACTTTTAACAGCCCGCTCACCCATGTAATCTTAATAAAGGAAATGCGATTTCTGGCTTTATTAAGAACAACAACAGCAGCAACTACTAAAATAAGTATCATATGTAGCTTCGAAGATAAAAATAGTAACATAATCAAAATATTGACGTTCCACATTAATTCGAACAAAAGGCTAGGAAGGAAATCCCCATCCATAATGGAATGATTAATAACAATTTGTAGACTTGATATATCAGGAAAAATTGTTTTAAGAAAAAGATTTCATGAATTTCAGTCAATAGTAGTACAGTGTGATCTCTCAATGATTGCCAAATGTTTCCTTGTAATGAAGCGGCTAATATTATCATAACGATTACGAACATAAAGGGACAAATATCACCATTACGAGTATAAAGGTACGTTAAATTAAACAACGTGTCAACGAAAGATTCGTGATGAAAAATTTTATCTGGAATACGCACTTTTTATAAATTGGAAATGTACTTTAGCTAATGTTATTCATTGAAAATTGATTTATATATCCCCTGCTATTAAAATATTTATATATCCCCTACTATTTATATACAGTCTATTTCAATATATACCTTATTGATTTTCCTAAATCAGTACTGAAAATATATGTGATTCGTAAACCTTGACAAAGCTGAACTGAAATGAGTTAAAATCTAATCTCTATCCAGACAGAGTAAAAGTAAAAAAAAAAAAAAAAGAACAAGAAAAGCTACAACATTTAACTTGAATCGCGTTTCCTAATATTTTCTTGTAAAAAAAAAGTCTGTTTCTTGTGACGCCAGATGAACGGCGAAATGTCACGCTAAAATAAATATCGAAATATTACGAGTTTGTTTAAACGTATAGCATAGATGTATGATGGGAGGCATGAAAAAAGGACAAATGTTGGACATAGCTACAAATGAGAGGAAGCTGCAATCATTAAACAATATTCATATATTACTGATTTCTGCGACTCAAATTTCATGTGTACATATGTTGATGTTGTTGGAAGAGTGATGAGGCGGTAAAATACTCACTTCTTTATTATTATTATTATTATTATTATTATTATTATTTGTGTTATGTCACAAATAATAAAAAAAATGATAAACCACCCGCACAAATCAAAGCCGTGTGTAACTACAGAGCAAAGCACGAATGTCCCTTAAATGCAAATTGTTTACAAAACAATGTAATATATCAAGCTACTGTAAAAATCAACAGATAACGAAGAAATATTATACAAAGGAATAGCCGAAGGTCTCCAGAAACAAAGAGACAACGCACACAAAACATCTTTTACAAAAAATAAAAACCCGAAGGAAGTAAATTCAACACAAATTACTAAATAAACGATCAGAACTCATCTGAAAATGCAAACACGAAAACGAATTTTTATTACGTTACTTAAAAATCGAAAATTGAAAACGAAAAAATAAATGAAAAAAATATAAAATAAAAAGAAATACATAAGTATAATAAATAAAGTAAATAGTAGACAAAATAAAAAAAACTCTAAATGTACACATAAGCACAACCAAACGTAATAATAAAAATGAACGACAAATAACAAACCAATGAATAATAAATTGAATAAACACTATAAATTACAGAAAAAACTGCATTCGGATCCACAATTACTTCCACACAATAGCCCATAGAATAATTTAAACTATAACCGTTACCGCCCACCCAGTAATTGTTCGAATAATACAATACACCTACCCAGAATTCATCACTTAACAGCTTATATAAATAGTCGAGACAAATCAACGCGTATGACCAGATGATTGCTTTTAAGCATGAAACACGCGGTCGGCACTGTGTGTTAACCTTAATGTCCACTTATATATATATATATATATATATATATATATATATATATATATATGATAGAGAAGACAAAAAATAACGTTTTTTTTTTACCTACGAATCATCGGCTGCTTCGAGTAAAAGAATGCTTCGCAATAATGGAGTTTAAACGTATTTATTGTGTCTTGAACATGAGTGTGTTGTTAAAATCACCCTGGTCGCATAGGTTTTTTGGGTTTTTTTTCGGTCGTCTTCACTTGGTGGCCTTTCTCCTGAATATTTATAAATTGTCATTGTAAAATGCATTTGTTTTCATTGGCTAACACGGTTATATTTCATTTGAAAAGAAAGTCACTTTTTTTTTGTATCTTTCTTTCCACAGAATTTCTTAAGCTGAGTCCTTTTTTATTTTTTGTATTTTTGATGAGAGGCTCATTTAAGATTCTTTTGTTTTATTTCAGTTCCATTGTTTGATTTGTTTGCGAAAAGAAATAAAAACTAAAAGACGAATAAAAATTATATTTCTTGTTGTGATAGGAACTTACGTGTTTCATGTTCTGCCTACTTTATAGAGACGAACAAACTGAATGAAATCTTTAAACGAAAAGTCGGCCTTTTCATTCAGGTCGGTCTTTATATATATACAGACAAAAGGCAGACACGTACACACAAAAACCAACACACACACAGATACACACACACACACACACGCATATATATATATATACCTCTTTCTTTCTTTCCGTATATGTGTGTACACACACACACACACACACACACACACACACACACATATATATATATATATATATATATATATATATAGGATGGCAATAAAGTCACTATTACTTATGATAAAAAAGCAAAACACTGAAGCAGGTGGCATGCATTAATTTACTATTTCTTATGGAGTGATTTCACTGTGGAGGCTTGTATTTGTACTAAGTCGGTCCTAAAATAGGTTCGACGTACAAAACGTTAGGAACTTGAATAATAGGTAATGACGCAAAGTTGTGGTCGCTGATACTTTAGTATCCGACTAACGAGAGTAACGAGGAGTCGGCTCAGTGATTCGGTCAGAACCACTGAGCCGACTCCTCGTTACTCTTACTACTCCTACTTATTATAATAAGGAGAGTCTATTAACTATAGAATAGGTGTGTTCCACTATAACACACATACACACATAAAGCAACACACACACACACACACACACATATATATATATATATATATATATATATATATATATATATATATATATATATATACCACTTTCTCTTTCTTTCCGTATATGTGTGTACATCAATATATATATATATATATATATATATATATATATATATATATATATATATATATATAATCGACTCTCCCGTCAAGATTCGACGTATGAGGGTCAAGCAGATCAGTTCCAGGAAACCGACAGCCCGACACCGGCACATGAGATTTGATTATGGAGGAGACACGGTGGAGTAATGGATAGCGGCTTGGATTGAGGAACCGCAGAGACGAGTTCGAAATCCAGTCGAATCCATTACATTCACTTACGTGCTAATACCCTTGGGAAAGGTATGAATCCTCTTCCTCTCCCTCCATAAAATAGCAGGACAAACTGGGTTCTATACCCTTGGATGGCAACTGGTCTAGGAGAAGGACAACTCTGAATTCAAAACCTGCAGAGGGTCGTTTGGGAACCTTGTGGCATTCGGTGCACCAGGTCTCTGTATTCGTCCCTTCAAAAGTCTGGATGGTCCTGCACCACTATATATATATATATATATATATATATATATATAGGGGGGGGCAATAAAGTCACTATTACTTATGATAAAAAAGCAAAACACTGAAGCAGGTGGAATGCATTAATTTACTATTGTTTACCATATCATTTTATTGTTATCAAATAGAACCATTTCAATGATAAAATTTTGGACTGTTGACTAACTGCTTTGTCTTAATTGTTATTGTAAGTAACTGTATAGTGACTTTATTGCCACCTGGTAAATATACATATATAGATACGAATAGATAGTTAGAGCGTGCCAGCATAAATACCTCGCAGATAAATCTCCCAGAAATACCACGCATATTATGCTACTACAAAAACGACAATGGTGTCTTCATCCAGTTAATATATTACCATAATTTGTGGGCTATTTCTGTCTATATAATATATATATATAAGTTACGAAATTACACAAAAATATCTTGAAATAATATAGAATAAATTTATACAATAAAATTTGACATTGGTTTCAACCACGGCCTCCAGACTACTTCAGAATCTCCTGCAACTCTTCTGGGTGGTTACCCTTGTTGAAGTTGGTCAGTGCTTCCATAATCTTTGCCTTCAATACATCTTTGGTGTTACAAGGAATTTGTTTATCTCCCGCTCGACTTCCAGCCCACACATATATAATAATAAAGGGGATTGTAGAATTTGGTGTTTGGTAGCGAGATGTAAGGTGTGATGTGGTCGCAGAAATTGTCTGACAAGCAGGACTGGGTTCTCCTGCGTGTGTGAAATGGTTCTGAGACCTGTTGCCAGACATGGCTTCTTTCAGCAACCATCTTCGCCACCTCCAAGCATCTGTGTCGAATCTGAGGTATTGTGGGAAGATTAATGTAAGCATAACGTCCCCATCAATAGTGATCACTCCAAACAACTTCGTAATCACCATTAGATTCATCTAACTCTTCAGAATCCTCTGCACTCTCTTCAGATTGACACCCAAACACTCTGAAATGTTCGTATTGAATCTTTCAGTGCGAATGCCAAGCAGTACAGCATGTCGTTTCCAAATTTCTGGTGGAGTGAATAGTGTCATGACGCTGTTTATTTCTCACTAACGATGACCAACTGACCCTGCTATACTGGGCAGTCGGCAAAATCAAAATTAAACAATGCGTATTCACGAAATTAAAAATATAAAATGGCGAAAATTTACCTATCGCACACTGTACAACAAACGTGGAGAATATTATTCAAAAGCCTGATATAAATACATGAAAACAATATTTGAGTACACACACACACACACACACACATACATACACACACACACACACACATATATATATATATATATAGAGAGAGAGAGAGATTTTACATAAATATATAGGCATATATATATAAACACATAAATATATGTATACGTAATATATATATATAATGTAGATATATAATATATATATAAAATATATACATATATATATATATATGTATGTATATTTATATATATATATATGTATATTATGTATATATATATATATACATATATATGCATTTATATATATATATATATATATATGTATATATATAAATCTCTATATATATATAGAGAGAGATTTTACATAAATATATAGGCATATATATATAGAAACACATAAACATATGTATACATAATATATATATAATGTACATATATAATATATATAAATTATATACATATATTTATATATTATATATATATTTATGTATATATATATATATATATATATATATATGCATATTATATATATATATATATATATATATATATATATACATATATATATAAACAACTAACATATATACGTGCATAACTTTGTCTGTATGTATTCAATGAGATTTTCTTTGTCTAAAATTTAATTCTTTTTGATAGACGTAACGAATGTTTTGTAATCATTTTCAGTAAAACAAAACCCCAAAAAATTAAAATTTCAGGAAAAAATATCTGTGATGAATTCGCGGAAAATGCATTTAATAAAGTTTTTTGTAGAACAAAACACGTCAAGTGATAATAAGAGGAATAGAAAGCTAAATACAAAAAAATGCCTCAGTGAAGAAGAAAAATAATTAAAAAACTATTTATTATATGTAATTTTTTTAAAAAAACTAACGTAGTAAGCGGCTATTGTTACTGACACGAAACGTAAAAAGAAGTGACAGAAGAGAGGAATAAGTTGAAATATATATATATATATAGGAAGAGTGGGGTTGAGAAAAAGCTAGACAGCATGATATATAGAAAAATTATCATATATATATATATATATATATATATATATATATAGAGAGAGAGAGAGAGAGAGAGGGGGGAACAGACGACATGAGAAATAGTAGATAGGAGAAGACACAGAGCGAGAAAGAAAGAGAGATATGAGAAATAAGGAAAGAGAAGATATGTAGAAAGAGAAACGCTTGAGATGAGGACAGAGGGAGAGAGAGAGAAAGAGAAAGAGAGATATAGAAACAGTGAGAGGTCACCAGGAACAGACGGTATCAGAAATGGTAGATAGGAGAAGACACAATCCGAGAAATAGAGAGAGACAAGAGAAATAAGGAAATAGAATGAGAAATGTAGAGAGAGAAACGCTGAGAAATGAGCACAGAGAGAGAGAGAGAGAAAGAGAGAGAAAGAGAGATATAGAAACAGTGAGAGAGCGCGATGAACAGGCGGTATGAGAAATAGTAGATAGAAGACACAATACGAGAAAGAAGGAGTGATAAGAGAAATAAGGAAATAGAAAGAGATATGTAGAGAGAGAAAAGCTGAGAGGATGAACACAGAGAGTGAGAGAAAGAGAAAAAGAGACATGGAAATAGTGAGAGAGCGCGAGGAAGAGACGATATGAGAAATAGTAGATAGGAGAAGAAACAATGCGAGAAAAAAATCAGAGATAAGAGAAATAAGGAATGAGAAGGAGATGTGTAGAGAGAGAAACGCTGAGAGATGTGCACAGAGAGAAAGAGAGAGAAGGAGCGATAGAAAGAGAAAGATAGAAGCAGTGAGAGGGAGCGAGGAACAGACGGTATGAGAAATAGTAGATAGGAGAAGACACAGCGCGAGAAAGAAAGAGTGATAAGAGAAATAAGGAAAGGGAAGGAAATATGTGGAGAGTGAAATGGTGAGAGATGAAGAGAGATAGAGAGAGAAAGAGAGAGATGGAAGCAGAGAGAGGGCGCGAGGAACAGACGGTATGAGAAAAAATAGATAGGAAAAGACAATGCGAGAAAGAAAGAGTGATAAGAGAAATAAGGAAGGAGAAGGAAATATGTGGAGAGTGAAATGGTGAGAGATGAAGAGAGATAGAGAGAGAAAGAGAGAGATGGAAGCAGAGAGAGGGCGCGAGGAACAGACGGTATGAGAAATAGTAGATAGGAAAAGACAATGCGAGAAAGAAAGAGTGATAAAAGAAATAAGGAAAGGGAAGGAAATATGTGGAGAGTGAAATGGTGAGAGATGAAGAGAGATAGAGAGAGAAAGAGAGAGATGGAAGCAGAGAGAGGGCGCGAGGAATAGACGGTATGAGAAATAGTAGATAGGAAAAGACAATGCGAGAAAGAAAGAGTGATAAAAGAAATAAGGAAAGGGAAGGAAATATGTGGAGAGGAAATGGTGAGAGATGAAGAGATAGAGAGAGAAGAGAGAGATGGAAGCAGAGAGAGGGCGCGAGGAACAGACGGTATGAGAAAAAGTAGATAGCAGATATAGTGCGAGAAATAAAATGAAGGAGAAATAAAGAAAGAGGTGGATATATGTAGAGAAAAAAAACGCCGAAAGATGAGAAAAGAGAAAAAGAGAGTTGAAGCGAATGAAAGTGAGAGGGGCTAGAAAAGAGTGACTATTAGACACGAGGAGAGAGGAAGAAATGTAGCGACGGTGTTGGTGAGATTGCTAGAGTTAGAAGTATATAGAAAGGTAGTGAAAAAATAAAATATATATATAGAGAAAACTGGGGAGACAGAGAGGGAAATGAAGAGAGAGAAATGAAGAGAATAAAAAAAAAACAAGAGGTAAAGGCGTGGAGGAGGCAGGAAGCTGGTGATAAATATGTTGAAAATAGAAGAGAGACCCCAGGAAGAATGTAGATAGAAAAAGACAGAAGGTAAAGGGGATCAGTAGAGCAAACAGTTCAGAGTGTTTGTGTATCAATCTAAGTACAGTTCATAGGATTTGGAAAGAGTTGGATGTGTCTAGTGGTGATTATGAAGGTGTTTAGATTAATCACTAGTGATGAGGCTATGCCACCATTCATCTTCCCAAAGGGCCTGAAAATCAACACGAAGGCCTACATCAAGCGCCTTGAGGAGGGAGTGTTGCTCCGGGTCAAGAGTTTGGCTGTTGGAAGACCCTGAGTCTGACAACAGGACTGTACACCATGCCACACACGCACAAGAAACCAGTCATGACTGTCAGACAATTTCTGCGATCACATCACCTCTTACATCTAGCCATCTAACTCCACAGTCTCCACCACCATGATTATTATGTGTAGAGTGCAGTTGAGCGAGAGATCAACAAAATCCCTTGTAACACCGCATTAGAGACAAGGATAATGGTAGCATTCACCAACTTAAACAAGGAGACCGCCCAGAAGAGTTGCAGCAGATTCCGAAGTCGTCTGCAGGCCGTTTTTGAATCCAATGGCGATTTTATTGAAATTCGAACTCGGCTCGCCGAATCCTCAGTCAGAGCCGCTATCCATTCGGAGAGCCAAGTTCATGTTCCAGTCGAATCCATTACATTCACTTATATGCTAATACCCTTGGGAAAGGTATAAATCCTCTTCTTCTTAAAGCTATGGATAAATAGCAGTACAGACCGGCTTCTATGGCCTTGGGTGGCATCTGGTCTACCGCAGAAAGAAATGGCAACCTACTGCGGAAAAGAAACTGCCTCTTCAGTCATGTATCGAAAGATACATGATCGCCTAAGCGTGTATCAAGCATGGCACATCGCTGGCTGAATACTACATAAAGCGTGCGTTGTGATGTAATATAGCCTTGGATGGCCTCCGGTCTACCGCAGAAAGAAATGGCAACCCACTGCGGAAAATGAAACTGCTTCGTCAGTCATGTATCGAATGGCACATCACTGACTGAATATATGTATTTCAATTATCACTCCACTATAGAAGAATATTAGCGAATGCTGAACTAGCATTTTTAGGTGTTTTATTCAATAGAATCTTTTTTTTTTCATGTAATTCGTTTATTTTTTTTATTTTTTTTTTCATCTACTTTAGCGTTTCAAATGTTCCTTCAATATTCTTCCCTAAATAGTTTCTTTAATATTTTCTTCTCGGCCAATTGATTTTAATCTTTTTCCTTCTTTACTCTCTAGCAATCGCGTTTACTGAAACATACTATCTCTTCCTCAATTTATTGGCTTATGGCGATATTATATTTAAATACTAATTCTCGGACGCTCAGCGAAGTGAAGCAACGTCGAGCCTGGTCTGTACCTAGATGGCTGTTCGCTTGGGGATACATATTGCGTTAAGATTGGATGTGTGTCTGGATAAATAGGATAACGGGTCTGAAATTGAAATCGGAGAGCCGAATCCCAATTCCAGACAGGTTCGTTATACCCGTATACGCGCAAATCCATTTGAGAAAGCTATGAATCATCCCTCCCAGTTAGTTTTGCGTCCTTTGCAAAGTCCTCAGTTGATGTTTTTTCTTCGGTTATTTGGTTCAGTTCGTTGTTTGTGATTTTATAGCGCCAGTTCACAATGTTCGAAACAGTATCGTCTTCAGAATGATCCACAGGCTTCGCTCGCTCAAAACTATTTTAATCATTTATCTTTGAAAACGGTTGTATAGATCTGGCAGTTTAGATCTTTCTGAAAGGGGCGTGACGATGTGTATGACATTCATATGAAAGTATCAATCGTACAGACACGCGTTTTCAGGTTAAATTTTGTCGCTATTCGCGATGTTGAACGATACTAACTCTAGCGCAGACTCCGTGTTCAATTTTCTTATCTGCTATACTACTTCTGTTATAACTGATCCATACACCCAGGTATTAGAAGTGTTTGGTACTTACTAATTCCACATACAGAATGTGTATGATTGATTCAATGTGTGTTTCCAGTTTTTCAAAGGTTTATCTGATTTTTATATTTTGGAATACTTTTGTTCAAGATTATTTATATCCCAATTATAAACACCTATGTCATCAGCATAGCCGTCTCATCATCAGTATATATAACTCAGCAGTTAAAGAAAGATCGCTGTCGAAGGATGCGGTGAATAACAGAAGCTAAACATAAGGGACACAACGAACTGTTAGATTCGGTTGTTTCTTTAGCTGCCTATCAACACCTTATGGGTCATTTAATGTCGAAATTTAATTTTCTTAGATGCATAATGATTTCTTTTACAAAAATGTATTGCTGGTAATTTTTCCATGCATCTGTTGTTTTAATATTTTTAAAAATGTATTGTGGGTAATACTTTTTTCAAACATTTATTGATGGTATTTTTTTTCAAATATCTGTTGGTGGTAATGTATTTTTGGAATTTTTTTTTCAAAAATGTATTACTGGTTATATTCTCTTTTCCAAAAGGTATTGCTTGTAATATTTTTTTTAATTTATTACTAGCAATATATATTTTTCAAAAATGTATTGCTGGTAATATTCTTTTTTCAAAAAAGTATTGCTGGTAATATTTGTAATGTGATGCTGGTAATATCTTTGTAAAATGTATTACTGGTAATATTTTTTTTTTCAAAAATGTATTGCTGGTAATATTTTTAATGTGATGCTGGTAATATCTTTGTAAAATGTATTACTGGTAATATTTTTTTTCCAAAAAGTTATTGCTAGTAATATTTTCAATGCATTGCTGGTAATATCCTTTTAAAATGTATTGCTGGTAATATTTTTTTTAAGTTATTACTAGCAATATATATTTTTCTAAAATATGTCGCTGGTAATATTTTTCTTTTTTTAAAAATGTGTTACTTGTAATATTTTTAAATGTGTTGTTGGTAATATCTTTTTAAAATGTATTGCTGGTAATATTTTTTTTAAATATATTGCTGGTAATATATTGTCTTTAATACATTTAATGCTTTGCTGGTAATATCTTGTATTTTTAGTAATATATTTTTTAATCTATTTCTGATATCTTCTTTTTTTTGCAAAAATGTATTGCTGGTAATATTTATTTTTTTCAAAAATTGTATTGCTATTATTTTTACTATAAAATTCTTTTTCTATACTTTCATAATGTTTTAACCCCCAGTTTTTGGAGTTAACTATTTTCCCATCGCTTGACCCTATCAGGTGTTACCACCATGGCTCACGGGGAACATGAGAGGTAACAGTAATAAAGAGGTGGTTACACGAACGAAGTTTTAGAGAAAATAGAAACAAAAAGGACATTCCGAAGGTGGATCAGAAAGGGAGATGTCTAATTCCTAGGGCACATCATGATGAAAGAGGGCTTGTAGATTTTGAATCTCGTGGGAAAGTTTGAGGACAAGAGGGTCAGAGGAAAGTATCAGATAACATCCCTAACGCGCATGTTTGTTGGCAGAGCAGGAATTACAGGAGGTAACAAAAACACAAAATTTACTAAGTGCTGCAAACGACAAAATACTGTAAAGAGCCATGATCATTCACGTCGTGAAGGAACATGGCACATGGACGAGAAATAAACGAGTACCCAGCATTTACTCTAAATACTTATATCAATATAAACTATAAAAAAATAAATAAAACAATAAAAATTCCAGATTTCAAATTTCGGAAATTTTATACAACCAAAATTCTTTATTTCATCTGTTGGACTTTGGGGTTAGAAATTATATATATGTAATTTAATAACGCTTTGTTTTATACAAATACGCCATCTTAGGTAAATATATAATGATACACCCTACTTATCTTCATAATTCAATCAAATGGAACTGATGAGTTAAAATGAATTATGTTATACAGATATCAATTAATAGTTTGTTTCTTTGCCCTATGCTTTTGATAGAACCACGTCATCTAAAATAATTATTCTTTTCTCTACAAATGCTGTTTTTCAAAGAGAAACTCTAAGAATATGTAAGACTCTAAAATTAAGGGGTTTATGGAAAGATTCCAGCCAGAATTACTTTATCGAATATAGCGAAAAGTATAAGTTTATTTTGGGATGATATCCTGGTTGAACCGGGAACTTTCCAGACTCCAAACCTTCTTATAACTCGTAATTTTTCATCACTTGATTTTCATATAACAACATCAATATTGAGAAATTGTTTTACTACCCTTATAATCAGTTGCAAAAAAATAAGTACTGTAATTCCCCATGTATAATACGCCTTCATCATAATACGCACCCCTAAAATTGTGCTGAAAATGTGAGAAAATGCTTCTACTCACGCATAATACGCACCCGTTGTTTTGTAATCAAACTCTATAAATTGTACATCTCCC